TCTGGAGCGAATCTGAATTTTAAGAAGCAGAGCAATCCCAAACAGGCCCTTTTGACAGGATTCTATGTTTGTCATGGGCATGAGATGCAACACTGTCGCTTCTCGGTTGACTGGTGACGAATTAATGGATCGGTTGAGTGAAAAGTGACATGCATGGTCAGGCTTATTAAGGGATTGGTTGAGTGAAACCTGACATGCATGGCTAAGATGAGAGTCAACAATTGTGTGTCCGGTCAGTGTATATCCTAGGTAGAGTCAATCAGTCATGCATGTGGACGAGCATGATCCAATTCATGTATCCGCCGATTGGAGTGCCATTGACGACGTTACGCATGTGACGAGGAAGTTGGAACAGAGCTTGCATCCTATACGAAAAAACGAAAAATGAAGGAAGAAATTTGTAGTAGCGAAGTATACTAGAAGTACCAGTGCGTTCTTCCTCCATCTACAAACATAAAAATAAAGGCAGTATATTTTGTGGGTAATCAATACCGTTCGAAAGTGCTTTTCAATGAGAATTCAACTACACTGATGTTTTTAAGTATATAATCAACATACGGTTGACACATTCTTAATCAAAAGACTTTACATATTTCTCACAAAGAGAGTAAACGGTGGATGGAATAATAAGTTCCGGCACGCTATCTCTCCTAGCTCTTCGTTGACGACGGGACAGCGGCTGACGGCCGGAGCTGCTGCTGGAGGACAGCACTAACCGAGTGACTGAACCCTGGCCAAACCCACGAGAAGAAACTTGTAAAGCGAAACCCATCAAAACGTGGTGCACGTACCCACGCAACTCTGCGTGCGTGCATGCACCACACAATTAGAAGTAGCCTTCTATTGCGAATCAACCTGTAGTTGAGTTGATTAGGTGGATAGTGGTATTCCCAACCCATCAGGTTCAAATCCTGGTGCTCGCATTATTCCTAGATTTATTTTAGAATTTCCGGCGATGCGCTTTCAGTGGGAGGAGACGTTTCCGTTGACGACGAAACGCCTACGATGACTTCGTAAATCTCAAGATGATATGCCGGCTCAGTCTCTCGGAGGTGCTCGTAGAGATAGGGTGTGCGTGTGTGCGTTCATAGAGGTGAGTGTATGCGCGTGTATATGAGCGCTTGTGTTTGTACTGATACTCAAAAAAAAAAATAAGTAGCCTCCTATTGCTGCACGTAAAATGCCGGTCCCGACCACAATCGCGCGCCATGTCGTATCACCATCCCAGCGGATACCCGGCAAAAGAGGGCCACGCGCGCCGCTGCTTCTCCGTCCCGCCATTTCTCACGCTCCCACTGTGACACACGTCATGCAGCGCCCTCGCTCTTTCGACGTGTTGTCTGTTGGTGCTCTCCGCCGGTAGTAATATCACCACATTCTTGCATCCGGCTCACTCTTGATCGTGTCATTTGGTACGTTTGTTGAGTCGGCTCTGACAGGAACTTGCGAGTACATCGTGATCTCGTAGACAAACAAGAACGGTATTCTGTACATCATCTAACAATCCGGACTGCAAACTATATATCGCCGATTAATAACTATATATACTAGACGATGCCCCGCGGCATGAGTGACATTAATTCAATATGTATCAAGGATACATGATACTTGTATCTAAAATGAAGGAGACATGATACTTGGATCAATAATATGGTTGGGGTAGATGAATGCTCAAATAGATCCGAAACTCTCTCGCTAATTAAAAAGATTAGACCCTAAAAAAGATTTGGTAATTACTTCAACTTCTAAGCATAAAAACCGAACAATGTAAATGCAAACTTAAGGCCAATTATGTGTTGTTGGGGTTTCTAGGTATAAATATTTCCAATCTACCAAGTACCAACAATCATTAAATTTGTTCATTTTCATTGGCTGTAGGTGGGAGGGAAAGGCCATGTTCCTAAATATATGTCTTTTTTAAAGATTCCAATATGAACTACATACGGAGCAAAATGAGTAAATCTACACTTTAAAATATGTCTATGTAAATCTGTATGTAGTTTATATTAAACTATGGTACGGAGCAAAATGAGGAAGTATATACATACCGTAAAGTGCGCGTACATACTTACGTACCAAAAAGTGCACGCACGCATACATTAACCAGTGTAGTCTGAAGCACACATGATTAACAAAACCTTCGGTAACGCCTGCCCACATGCACGTATGAGACTGGGTCTACGTACTCAGTTGACGAGACGGAGACAAAAGGAGAAAAGGCACAGGTGTGTGCTTGCCAAGCGTAACCAGGCGCAAGCCGCATATGAGGAAGTCGGCCTAAAAACCATCTCCAATCCGGGCAAACTGCCTAATTCTTGCCTAAATAGATGGATTCTGATCTAGGTCCATAAATTTTGAGATTTGACAAGTTTTACCAGTTTTTTTATCTAAATCTGGGCCGTTCTCTGGGCAGATCCCAGGCGTGCCTTGTTGCTTTGCTAGAAACTGGGCGACTGCTGGGCTCTGGCCATGGGCCTTGGCTTAACAAGAGCTCCCGTAGACTCGCCCCGGGGCTGTGGGAGGTTTGTGATTAATTGCGTCATTCTTTTGCAAATATAAACTGAATGTGCAGGTCTAATTATTGAATGAGTTGGTCCGATCCGTGGACACCGATCATGTCTGTGGGCGTATGAGGGGCTAGTTTAGCTGTATGTGGTTGTAGATGCTCTAAAGCATGAAATAACATATTCTCGTGTGAGCGACACCCAGGTAAGATAGGCATGCAAATGCCCACGTTCGATAATGAATGGGCTGGTCCGGTCCGCGGGCATTCGTGCACAGTGCTCCTAGGGAGCTCCAATTTGATGTATTTTGTGCCAAATAAGCTTGCAACACAACATGGAACCCCGAATGGCCCGACCCGTTGGTGTGCAACGGTGCGATGTTTTTTCTAGAATACATGCAATGGTACAATGTGAAAAATTACAAAAACGGATGCCCTCGCATGGAGTCGAACTAGAGACCACTTATACTTTTGAAGAAGTGAGCCAGCCAAGCTAACTATTAGAAGTGAACCAAAAGCAGCGCCGAAGTCTAAGAACTAACGGAAGCGGCAGATTCGAACACTTTGAAATTTTCTGGACATTTCTTCGTCCATAGTGCTCCTGGGGGGCTCCTATTTCATGCATTTTGCATCAAATAAGCTTGCAACGCAGCACGGAGCCCTGAATGGCCTGACCCATTGGCGTGTAGCGGTACGATGTTTCTTCTAAAATGCGTGCAGCGGTATGATGTGGAAAAAATACAAAAAACGAATGCCATCACATGGAGTAGAACTAGAGACCACTTATACTTTTGAAGGTGTGATGTGAGCCAGTGGAGCTAACGATTATAAGTGAACAAAGAGCAGTGCCGAAGTCTAAGAACTAATGGAAGCAACCGATTCGAACACTCTGATTTTTTCTTTTGGATATTTCTTGCCATTGTGAAAAAACAATTTAAACACAAATAATGACTGAAATTCAAAAAATAATGGAAAACTCGAACAAATTTTGAAATGCATGAAACTTTTTTGAAAACATGATTTTTTTATGATAGTTTATTCAGATTACAAGGATTCTTAATTCCACGCATTTTTTGAAAAACGTATACAAATTTTGAGCATGAACATTTTTAAATGTGTAAACAAGAATGGAAATTCCAGAAAATATTTCTAAATTTTGAAGATTTATACATTTTTCAAGAAAAGTGTGATTTTTGAAAATTCTGAATAATCTATTCAAACACGATTTTTCAAAATATCCTGTAATAAGCAAATAAAATATGAATATATTACAATTTTCTTAAAAGCTGAATTTTTAAACAAAGTTTGCAAATTTCGAACAAAGTTTTTTGAAGGTGAATTTTTAAACAAAATTTGCAAAATTCAAGGTGTGTTCTGCATATTGCTATAGTGCCCTAGTCAAGGATGCTACCCTAAATAAAATGTTTGATGATGCTCGTTTCAAGGATGAAAGCAAACCTGAAATGGAGAACGTTTACGATTTGGCGAACGTGGAATGAGCATTTTCAAATGTACTATGAACATTCTTTAGTTCACGATGTACCTTTTTTACATGATGCCCATTTTTAAACTGTTCACGTATTTTTAGAGAACCTTCACTTATTTAGAATGTTGTTCACCAACTTTTAGAAAATGTTCACATGTTTTATAAAAACAAAATCATGTAGATATTTATTGCATATCTCAAAATGTTCGAAGATGCTCGCTTGAAGGATGAAAGCGAACCTCAAATTGAGAACGCTTACGGTTTGGCGAAAGTGGTAGCGGGATTACCAATGTACCGTGCATGATCTACAAATGAACATCCTGTATACAGAAAGGGTAGGTACAATGGTAGAGAAGGGTACGTTTTCTTTTCACTATTATGCACATAATAATGCTATAAAAAATGGTTTCAATATTGTACGCATTGTCAAGAGCATACGATGCGAATTCACGGTGTTTTAGTTTAACTGTACCGAATCATTTCCACTGAGGAGTGAGGGATGCTAACGGGGCTCAGATTTAGCAGCACATCGATTGTGACCGATCTCCGCCATTAGTATGTTTCAAAGGAAGCAATTTGCATTCTCTCACACATTCATCATCGATAATGATTGTAATGAATCGATCTCATTAGAGAGAGAGAGAGAGAGGAATAACATTACACCGGGTTAATCGTAATTGGCTTGCCGGAAGAGACTTGTTGATCCAGCAAGAAACGAAACCAAGCAACAGAACGGAAAAGGGGGAACAAATAGCAAGAGAAGAAGAAGAAGATGTGGCTACTGACAACTAGAACCCCTTGGTCAGTCCAGCACCGCGTACGTAGGTGGAGCCATCTTCCCAGACGCCAGCGACGGCCGTCACACACGGATCAATTCAATTCAGTCGCCGTGCGCGCGCGCGCTGGCCGGAGTAGTCCGTTACTTATATATCCTGCCTGTGGCCTGGCCGGAATGGTTAATTGCTCGACGCCTGCTCCGCTAGAGAGAGAGAGAGAGTGTGTGTGTGTGGATCACGTCCTGACCCGGCGCAGGGCGAAGTACGCGAACAGGCGGTAGGCGAAGAACATGGCGACGAGGGCTCCGACGCAGGTCCAGGTGCCGGCCTCGCCGTGCGTGGAGTCGAGCGGGAGCAGCTGGGCGAGGTGGCCGCTGTACTGCACGGCGATGAGCAGGCGGTAGCAGTAGTAGGTGAAGGAGGAGTACTTGGCCCAGATCATGAAGATGGGCACGTTGTGGACGTAGAAGCCGCCGGTGAGGAGGTAGGCGAGCATGATGACGGTGGCGAGCGTGGAGGCGCGCTTGGCGTCCATCATGAGGGCGCCGATGGCGAGCCCGAGCCCCTCGGCGACGAGCACGTAGGAGAGGATGACGAGGAGGGTGAGCGCGAAGGCGGCGGGCGCCGGGTTGAGCCCCGCCATGAGGTAGACGATGAGGGTGAAGGCGGCGGGCAGGGCGAGCTCCATGGGCAGGTCGCCGGCCATCCTGGCCATGAAGTAGGAGGAGAGGGAGTACATGCCGGAGGCGCGCTCGCGGGCGAGGACGGGGCGCTCCTGCGGGAAGGCGAAGACGGCGTTGAAGGAGGCGAAGACGCCCCAGAAGATGGAGATGAAGAAGAGGAGGCCCATCCGGTCCTGCACCTCCAGTGGCGTGGAGCGCCACCACATGGCCCCCGCCACCAGCGCCGGCGCGATGATCTGGAAGAGGCGGAGCGACGTGAAGGTCTCGTGGCGGCGCTCCTTGAGGCTGCGGCGGAGCAGGATGGTGAACTGGTTGGTCCAGCTGGTGCACCCAGACCCGCTGCAGCTCTCCAGCGGCTGCTCGCCCGCGCCGGCGTGGCCATTCTCGTCGACGTGCGCGCCGGCGGTGATGGCGGCCTTGACCTTGGGGGCGAGCTCCCTGGCGTAGGACGCGATGAGCGACTGCTTGACGCTGCCTCCCTCCGCCGGGCGATCGCTGTACTCCGCTTGCGCAAAGCCTGCACACACACACACACACACATCGAACAGTCAGAAAACACAACCTTTCACGTGGTTTAGAAAAGAAAAGTTGGCGATAATGGGCATCATGATCATCAAACAGCGACAACGATGGGCGCGTGAACGTTCAGTTTGCGCTTGCGGAATCTACCGGACGTAGCAGTGAACGGATCAGAACGAGTTTCGCGTACGTGCTCGCCGTGCTCTGATGTGCCGGTGCACTCAACAGAACAGGTTGGTGCCGTGCCAAGCCAAGCCAAGCCAAGCCAAGCAGCAGAAAAGAAGAGGGCTCTTCCATCCATCCCTTTCTTCTATCTCGAAAGGGCGCAGAATTGCACCGAGAAAATGAATGATTCCTCCTGTCTAATTAAAGCGGGGGCGGTATATCTCCAACTGTAGCGACACAGGCTCTCTGCTCGGAACAATATCGACGGTGGTTGCCCCCGGGATCCGCTTCTCCTTCCTCCTCATCCTCATCCTCATCTCAGGTGCGGTGAGGTGGCCGGTGCTAACGCGCCACGGGAAAGACGACGCTAGCTGCCACAGCCGGGAACGGATCCAACTGAAAGCTGCCACCGGTGTCGGACGGATCTAATCTACCTACGTGTCAACTAGTATTCATTTCTTCATTCACTTGTCTGATGAAAAGTACGTACAGCACCGAAAACACATGCAGTTTCAGCAAGCCTCCAATCCGTGCATAAAGTGAGGTTAGCGTGATGGGATCTTGATGATCCGCGCAAATGGCTAGAGATGTGCTCGGGATTTTCTTTATCTTCTTCGGAAAACTTGTAAAAGACAACGGCATAGGTCAAATCACCCGTGAAAATGGCAAGCGCGGTCGCCAAAAACGCGGGCAGGTTGATTAGACAGCGGTTACACCACACTACGCCGGAGAAGACAAGTACTCCCTCCATTCCAAATTACTCGTCGTAGAAATGGACGTATCTACAACTAAAATACATCTAGATACATCCATACTTGCGACAAGTAATTCGAAACGGAGGGAGTAGAGTAGGAGGGACGCACTGGACTGTGGAGCGGGCGAGGGGATGTAGATATCGACATCGGTCCAGTATTATGATGTGCAGCCCCACTAGCAGCGTCCCGCCGATGGGACCCCTCCGTGACATGTGTCCGGTGGGTGCGATTATTCAGCCATAATTAAAGTGCTTTGCGCAAAATAGGAGTACTAGCTAGCTATCTAGGGCACTCTCACCGCTCTTTTTGGTTGTGCACCTCCTCTCTCCCGATCTTTTTTGTTGGGTGCACTCCACACTCGCCTCCCGGATTTGTTTTGCCCGTCTCCAGTGTCATCATCACTAATCCAAAAATCTAGTCATCCGCGATGCTAAAAGGGGGACATAAACATGTACGTGCGGTACTATTCCTGCTGCCTAGCTTTCAGTTTCTTCCTCGGTTAGATTGTCTAGTGCTTCGGTGAATCTAGATTTCTATTCTTACTCTAGTTAGCTAGTTTCATGGAAAGAACAAGTTGCTAATGGTAGAAGCGGCAGTTAATTACTGGTGTAAGTACTCACCGTTAGCGAGGTCGAGCATGAAGTCGGCGGGGTTGACGTGGAAGCCCGGCGCGAAGCCGACGGAGGCGAAGTAGTCCATGGCGTCGCGGCCGGGGCCGTGGTACATGCAGCTCCCCTCGGAGAGGAGCAGCACGGAGTCGAAGGCCCGGTACACGCGGCTGGACGGCTGGTGCACGGACAGCACCACCGTGCGCCCCCTGCGCGCCAGCGCCGAGAGCGTGGCCACGAGGCGGGACGCGGCGGTGGAGTCCAGCCCGGAGGTGGGCTCGTCCAGGACCAGCAGGCTCGGGTTCACCAGCAGCTCGTGCCCGATGCTCACGCGCTTCCGCTCGCCGCCGGACACGCCGCGCACGAACGCGTTGCCCACGATGGTGTCGGCGCAGGCGCCGAGGCCCAGCTCCGCGATCACGGCGTCGGCGGCGGCCAGCTTGGCGGAGGTCGGGGCGGTGGCGGGGAGGCGCAGCATGGCGCAGAAGGCGAGCGTCTCGCGGACGGTGAGGTGCGGGTGGAGGATGTCGTCCTGGGCGACGAACCCCGTGCGGCGCTGCACGGCGCGGCACGGGGCGCGCCCGCCGGTCAGGACCGTGCCCGAGTAGCGGCCGGCGAGGCGGCCGCCGAGGATGGACAGGAGCGTCGACTTGCCGCTGCCGGACGGGCCTAGCACGGCCAGAACCTCCCCGGGCCGCGCCTCGCCGGTGATCCCCTTGAGTATCGTCCTCTCCTCAACGGCCGCCGACACGCCGCCGAGGCCGCCGGCACCACCACCCGAGTGCGATATCCTTCCCGGCGGCTCCTTCGCCGGCCCGGCCGTCCTCTCCACCTTCACGCGGTACGCGACGTCGATGAACTGCAACAAACCATCAAGCGCCCGCCCGCCCGCCGTTATAAACAAGTCGGCGACTCAAAGTTCAAACCGTTGGCGCGCATGCAGCAGCAGTACGATCGGCCGTGCATGTAGCGATCTCCTTGCGTACGTACGTACCTGGAGATTCAGCGGCGTGCAGACGGACGACAGGAAGCAGTCCATCTTGGACGACGGCACCGGCGTGGCGGCCGTGGGCGAGACTAAGCCGCCGCCGCCACCGCCATGCACGGTCTGCCCGTTCGGAGGCATCGCGGTCGCGGCTCGGACTTAATTTCGCTCGACGCCACACGATCGACACGACCAGCGGAGACGACGCTGACGGCAAAGCGCAAGTGGAAGTCCGACGGCGAGACGAGCGGGAGTGGTGGTGGTTGGCGCGAGCTCGCTCGAGCGGGATGGGGCGGGATGGTGGTGGTGATCGATCGGGTATGAGAAGATCGAAGGGGGTGTGGGAGGCTGGAGGGGTATATAAAGGAGGGGTCGGCCATGGCACATGGACATGGAGGTGGTGAGGGCCACGTCACCGGCGGAGGGGACGGGGCACGTGGCGCTCGGGGCGCGGCGAGTGGAGCGGCGGGCCCACCGGCGGCGGTGCGCTTTTGGCGCGCGGCACCCATGCCCCCGCCCCGCCCCGCCTTTTTGGTTGGACCGGCGCCGCTGGGGCCGCCGTGGAAGGGAAGGGAAGAGAGGTGAGCGAGCACACGTCGCGGCTGGCTGCTTTTGATTCGGTTCGGGGAATCGAAGCGAGGAGGAAGAAAAGCGCGCGCGCGAGAGGATGGTGCGCGAGGTGGTGCGGTGGCATCAGCGGAGCGCACCTGCGTCTGCGTGCGCGCCCCACCACGGGCAGCACGGCCGATCCCGGACCTCCTACTGTGCCGGGGCGGTTATTATTAACAACAGCCGCGGTCGCCGATTTTACAAAGTGACTATTGACTTGTCGAATTGGTGTTTCTCAGTCGACTGAGCCGCTGGACGTCCTCCAGCGTGATTTTTCACAAAATATTGTGCGCACCTAGGCCTAGAAAATGCAATGTTTGTTACTCCCTCCGTTTAGTTTTATAAGAGCATCTTCAACAGCAGCCCAACGCGGCACGCTAAAAACTACTTTGCCGCGTGTTCATCGTCTGATTTGACGTGGCGGACCGCGCTGGCTCCAGCAGCGTACACAAATTCAGCGCGCCCGACTCTCGCACAAACAATATGTGCGCTTCAAACACAAGCAAAAAGGTTAAATACAAACAAAATAAATCAACAATAAATAGTTCAATTTCGTTATTACAACTCAAACAAATAGTTTATCGTTCAATACAACAAATAATTCAACAATACAACATCAAAGGCATAAAACATGATGCTCTTTGTCGGTCATTCCAAGCCCACCACTCCTCGATGAGATCCTTCTGAAGATTATCATGCGCCGCGGGACGTCGAATGGCATGATAGGAGGCAACAAAACGGGCCATCCTTTTAGCCCTCCGCCACACTCGCACGGGATGTCCCAAAAGCTCATACTGAGAGTAGTCTACATCTTAGTCATGCTCATTCTCGATGATCATGTTGTGCATGATCACACAAATGTGCATGATGTACCAAAGCATCTTTTGATCCTAAAATGTAGCCGGTCCTCTCACAATAGCAAATTGGGCTTGCAAAATCCCAAAAGCTCTCTCCACATCCTTTCTAGCCGCCGCCTGAGCATTGTGGAAATCAAGATTTTTCTTACCTTCCATTTTTTTTCAACGGCTTCACAAATATTTGCCACTTTGGATAGGTGCCATCCGCAAGATAGTAGCCATAGTTGTATGTACGACCATTTGCTATAAACTGCATCGGTGGTAGTTCATCATTTGCAATCTTATTCATCAGTTGGTGACCGGTTGACAATGTTGATGTCATTCAAAGATCCAGGCATTCCAAAAAAGGCATGTCAAATCCAAGTCTCTTGATCGGCCACCGCTTCAAGGATTATAGTGGAAGCCTTTTTTTGGTCGTGGAATTGCCCATGCCATGTCTTTGGACAATTCTTCCAACTCCAATGCATGCAATCTATTGAGCCAAGCATACCCGGGAAGCCGCAAGCTTTGTTCATCTCCAATAGCCTTGCGTCTTCGGCATTGAGAGATCTCAAATACTCATGGCCAAACACTTGCACAATTCAAACTGCGAAGCGTTTGACACACATGATGGCTTGGCTCTCACCCATGTCCAAGTGATCATCAACGAGATCCGCCGGGATACCGTATGCCAACATACGCAAAGCGGCTGTCACCTTCTGAAAGGTGCTATGCCCGAGCTCTCCGGCGGCATTCCTTCTTTGCTGAAAAAATCGGTCATGGCTCGCTAGTTTCTCTGCAATGCACCTGAACAATTCGGTGCTCATCCTAAACCGGCGACGAAAGTACGACTCCGGGTATGTGGGATTCTCCACAAAATAGTGCCTCATCAATCTGTTGTGGGCATCGATCCTATTCCTCCAAATTTTCCATCGATCCAAAACCGAACCACCGTGCTTTGGTTTTTTTATTAATGTGCATAGCTAGGATCATTGCAAGATCCTCCTCCTCTTCCATATAAAATTCTTCTTCGGAAGAATCATACGACGAACTCATGTACAATGTTCAATATAAACTAGGCTATAAAAACTACAATCAACATGCACCAAATTCATGTAAAATCTGTTAAGTTTGAGCAATACATACCTTGCAGGCGTTTTGTCGAACTCCTTGCGGGCGCCGAGCGGCAGTGAGCGGTCGGGCACTGTTCGTCGGAGGACTGCCGCGCGCGACGGGTGGCGGTGACTAGAGGGAGATGGAGGAAGCCGCCGCGGCGCAGGGATAGGCCAGGGAAGCGCTGGAACGGTCGCCGGAATAAATGGGGTGGCGCGGGCGGCGGCGGCGCAGCGGCTGGATGGGGTAGGTGAAGTTGTGAGCGAGCGCTCGAGAGTCCAGCGCGCGGGAGCGGGCGCAACAAATAAGCGACGCACGATATCTATGGCATTTCAGCCCGCACGCTGAACTAGATATGTCGCGTGATACGTCTCCAACGTATTTATAATTTTTGATTGCTTCATGCTATATTACCTACTGTTTTGGACTATATTGGGCTTTATTTTCCACTTTCATATTATTTTTGGGACTAACCTATTAACCGGAGGCCCAGCTCAGAATTGCTGTTTTTTTGCGTATTTCAGTGTTTCGGAGAAAACAGAATATCAAACGGAGTCCAAACGGAATGAAACCTTCGGGAACACGATTTTCTCATCAGATAAGACCCAGGAGATTTGGACCCTCCGTCTCATGGGCCCCTCAAAGCTCCACCGACGTACTCCTTCCTCCAATATATTCCTACGTACCCCCAAACGATCAGAGATGGAGCCAAAAACCTAATTCCACCGCCGCAACTTTATGTATCCACGAGATCCCATCTTGGGGCCTGTTCCGGAGCTCTGCCGGAGGGGGCATCGATCACGGAGGGCTTCTACATCATCATCCAAGCCCCTCCGATGAAGTGTGAGTAGTTTACTTTAGACCTACGGGTCCATATTTAGTAGCTAGATGGCTTCTTCTCTCTTTTTGGATCTCAATACAATGTTCTCCCCCTCTCTCGTGGAGATCTATTTGATGTAATCTTCTTTTTGCGGTGTGTTTGTTGAGACCGATGAATTGTGGGTTTATGATCCAGTCTATCTATGAATAATATTTGAATCTTCTCTGAATTCTTTTATGTATGATTGGTTATCTTTGCAAGTCTCTTCGAATTATCAGTTTGGTTTGGCCTACTAGATTGGTTTTTCTTGCCATGGGAGAAGTGCTTAGCTTTGGGATCGATCTTGCGGTGTCCTTTCCCAGTGACAGAAGGGACAGCAAGGCACGTATTGTATTGTTGCCATCGAGGATAACAAGATGTTTTTTTTATCATATTGCATGAAACTATCCCTCTAGATCATGTCATCTTGCTTAAGGCGGTACTCTGTTTTTAACTTAATACTCTAGATGCATGCTGGATAGCGGTCGATGAGTGGAGTAATAGTAGTAGATGCAGGCAGGAGTCGGTCTACTTGTCTCGGACGTGATGCCTATATACATGATCATACCTAGATATTCTCATAACTATGCTCAATTCTGTCAATTGCTCAACAGTAATTTGTTCACCCACCATAGAGTACTTATGCTCTTGAGAGAATCCACTAGTGAAACCTATGGCCCCCGGGTCTCTTTCTCATCATATCAATCTCCATCACTTTATTATTGCTTTGCTCTTTTACTTTGCCCTTTTACTTTTTACTTTGCATCTCTATACCAAAAATACCAAAAATATTATCTATCATCTCTATCAGATCTCACTTTCGTAAGTGACCGTGAAAGGATTGACAACCCCTAAGCGCATTGGTTGCGTTGAGCTATTGTTTTTGTGTAGGTACAAGGGACTCGAGCGTAGCCTCCTACTGGATTGATACCTTGGTTCTCAAAAACCGAGGGAAATACTTGCGCTACTTTGCTGCATCATCCTCTCCTCTTCGGGAAAATCCAACGCAATGCTCAAGAGGTAGCAAGAAGAATTTCTGGCACCGTTGTTGGGAGTCTGCGCAAAAGTCAACATACCAAGTACCCATCACAATCCCTATCTAACGCATTATATTAGTTGCCATTTGCCTCTCGTTTTCCTCTCCCCCACTTCACCCTTGCCGTTTTATTCGCCCCCTCTCTCTCTCTCTATCCTCCCTCTCTATTTGCCTCTTTTGCCCGTTTGCTTTTTGTTTGCTCATGTGTTGGATTGCTTGTTTGTCACGATGGCTCAAGATAATACCAAATTGTGTCACTTCACCAATATCAACAATAATGATCTCCTTATCACTCCGATTGCTCCTCTTACCGATGCTGAATCTTGTGAAATTAATGTTGCTCTGCTGAATCTTGTCATGAAAGATCCGTTCTCTGGCCTTCCTAGTGAAGATGCTGCTACCCATCTTAATAACTTCGTTGATTTGTGTGACATGCAAAAGAAGAAAGATGTCGATAATGATATTGTTAAATTGAAGCTATTTCCTTTTTCGCTTAGAGATCGTGCTAAAGCTTGGTTTTCATCTTTGCCTAAAAATAGTATTGATTCATGGAACAAGTGCAAAGATGCTTTTATCTCTAAGTATTTTCCTCCCGCTAAGATCATCTCTCTTAGAAATGATATTATGAATTTTAAGCAACTTGATCATGAACATGTTGCACAAGCTTGGGAGAGAATGATATTAATGA